TATCCTGAAAAATGTTACACTGAAAGAATAGGAGGAAGGACATACAGCTGTACTTCAGTATCCACAGGACCCACCTACTCTGAAACAACAAACCAACAAACAAATCCACTGTTATTGAGTTGATTCTGACTCAGAGCAACTATATAGGACAGAGTAGAACTGCCCCATATGGTTTCCAAGGCTGTAAATCTGTAAGGAAGTAGGCTGCCACATCTTTCTCCTGTAGAGCAGCTGGTAGGTTCAAATTGCTGGCCTTCTTGTTTGCAGCCCAATGCTTTAACCACAGTACCATCAAAAAATTTGTGGATGCTCAATTACCTTATATCAAATTTGCATATAACCTACACACATCATCCTGTGTACTTTAAATCATCTCTAGATTACTTGTAATACCTAATACAATGTAAATGCTATGCAAATAGCAGTTTACGCTCCCTTTTTTCCCTCTTAGCCTTTGAGGGATTGCTTTGACTACTTAATTGCTTTTTTTTTTTTTCCCTGAGTATTTTCAATCTGTGATTGGTTGGATGCAGAACCCATGGATTGTATGTGTGATTTAAGAGAACCACCTTGCTTTTCCTTGGGAAGAAGAATATAGGTAATTAGTAATGATTTAAATGTGGAAAAAAGCAATAGAAGCTTCTTGAAGAACATTAAGAGTTGAAGTGGCTGCCTCTGGGGAGTAGGGAGTGGGCTTGAGTAGGCTGAGCCAGGGAACCACTGTTTCATGTTATAAGCTTTGTAATAAGATTTGGCTTACAAAATTATGTACACATATTGCTGTGATAAAAATAAACACTTAATTAAAAAGTAAGAGAATGATGCCAGCCTGAGCTTCTGATTGAGAATTGTTTGGGTAATACGTGCACAGGATGAAAATGATCTAGAGCAGTCAAACTGGGACTTTCAGACTCTGTACCACAGCTCACACACTGCTTGACCTGAATGTGGATTCCGGGCTCTGGCTGTCTTTTGGCTCATTCCAGGGGCTGTCAAGATTCATTCCTCCAAGTTGACAGACTGGCCTCACTTTAACAAGTTAATGATACCAATCGGCAGAGACTCCTATCTATGAAAAGGCAGGCAGGATCAGAAACTAGAAAGGGACAGCTGGTATTTTTTGATTGACACAATATGATTCATAAAGATCACACAAATGAAAATGAGTGGAATGTATCACTATGAAATGCAAATTGTTCAGCTCTGGAGCTCTGGATGGAGGCAGAGCACAGACCTGCTCTAAATAACCCTTCTGCCAAGGGATAAAAAGAGTAGCACATTCTAATGCAAAGACACAAGCCCCAGGAGCCAGTCAGGCAGCTGACACCACGTGCAGCTTGGGCAGCAAGCTCCTACTGTCTGAATCACAGGCTCATTTCTCTGCACTATCTGTCCCTCGGTGCTCTGGATCTATAGACTGGGGCCAATGGGCAGTGCTCACCTTGGCTCTCTATAGGTATCTTCCAAAAATACATCGTAATGAAGAAAAAAACAAACTCACTGCCATCGAGTCAATCCCGACTCATAGCGACCCCTCCTTGGGTTTCTGAGGTGGTACCTCTACAGAAGTAGATTGGCCAACCTTCCTTCTGGGGAGTGGCTGGTGGGTTTGAACCACTAGCCTTCTGGTTAGCAGTCAAATGCCTTAGGCACTGTGCCACCAGAGCTCCCACAATGAAGAAAAGTGGTCGGCAATGTTAGTTATTAAGCAGCAAACATGATTTGCAAGGGGCAAAATATAGAGGGACTGTCAAGTTCGTGGACCGAACATTGTTTCGTTCTATTATACAAAGGATCACTATGCGTTGGAACTGACTTGATGGCACCTAACAACAACAACCGTTCAACTTTAGGAATAGTCCGTTTAGGCTAAAAGGCTTGCAAAATAGGACTGGGAAAGAGCTGCAACATCTGAGTAAACCCAGCCTTACTCATGGAAAAGAGAAAGCTTTC